AATTTCCAATGGCAATGAAAGACTACCCTAGCTGCTGCAATGAAATGTGTGAGGACATCCCTTTTCACAGATTTTAGGGAGCCTGGGATCATGGATAAGTGGACTATCCTGGGTGAAGTCTGGATAGAGGTTGCCATGAGTTTTACAGTAAAAAAAAAAAAAAAAGTTTAGATGTTTTTCTCAGTGTATACAATGTACGATATGAAAAATGTTAGTGACACACAAACACACATATACAGGCACATACACACTCTCAGGTTGAACTGGATGGACTGGTGTCTTTAATCAACCTTACCAACTACTGTATGTATATTGCAAAAACTGGTTTAACAAAATTATACATTTACAAAAATTACAAAAAAAAGTAAATTTTTTCAACAGTATCTTTAGCTGTTAGATATAGTTAGAACAATTTAAATGCTTATACATTCTGGAGGAAAAACAATCAAAAATAATACTTGCTAAGTCCTTTTTTTCATGAAATGTAAATGTCACCACAATTATAGGCAATCACAACTGAAAAAATATGCCGGGCTAAAAAGCGCTCGAAAATAGGCCTGCAAGAGAAATGTAAAATAAAGTGGTTTGCAACTCACAATGCAGCTTCTGGCTACCATGGACCTAATGTCTATTTACCACCCTCATTTCCATAATGTCCACGCATTAGCAAAGGCATATGGAAGATGTGTTATTTAGAGATGAAGATTAAACACCCTATTTATAAACATTTACCAAATATACTTTAAACTTGACAGGGAATTCTGTTCTAAATGAAGAGGTCAAATTTGTATACTGCCTCAAACAATGTACCAATGAGACTGTCATTAAATTACTACGAGAAGAAACGGCACATTCGGCACAATTTTGCCCAGAATAAATGGGCCCGTTTTGCCTCGAAAATATATTGTTAGTAGATTTTAACAAATGAATATTTCTGCCTTACGTCCTCAATTCTCACTCACTGGTTTAATTAAATTCTTGGAAAATATTGTAATGATTTAGGAAATAACAAATGGCTTGTCATGCTTGCACAAATACAACACAGCGGCTTAAAAGTTCCAATTTCTAGTTGTTTTGCAAACTATGAATTGTTTTTAATAGTGATATTATTTAAGCTTAACCCAGTCTGATATAAAAAAAAAACTTTTTTTTAGCCACTTTCTGACGATGTACGCATATACAGAGTTGTGCTCAAAAGTTTGCATACCCTGGCAGAAATCAGGAAACTGGCATTGATATTGAAAATATGACTGATCATACCAAAACACTGTCTTTTATTTAAGGATAGTGATCATATGAAGCCATTAGTCATCGCATAGTTTTTGGCTCCTTTTTAAATCATAATGATAACAGAAATCACCCAAATGGCCATGATCAAAAGTTTCCATCCTCTGGAATGCTTGGTCTTGGTACAGACACAAAAGGTGACACTCACAGGTTAGAATGGCAATTAAACGTGGATGCACTGAGCAAGCTAAATACTGAGCCATGGGGAACAGAACATAACTGTCAAAAGACCTGCATAACAAGGTAATGGAACTTTATAAAGATGGAAAAAAATGTAAAAAGTTATCCATAGCCTTCAATATGCCAATCAGTACTGTTCAATCACTTATTAAGATCTCTTGATACCAAGCCAAGAACAGGTAGACCAAGAAAGACTGCAGCCACAACTGCCAGAATAGTTTGTGATACAAATAAAAACATTCAGGTTACCTAAGGAGAAATACAGGCTGTTATGATAAAAGATGGTGTGGTTGTGTTGAAGGAGCACAATATGATGATATGACAAACAAAAATGATCTGCATGGTTGAGTTGCCAGAAAAAAGCCTTTACTGCACTAATGCCACAAAAAAGCCTCTGAGGAATGTCAAGGTGATGTCGGGTCCAAATTCACCGGATGACCCTGGGAAAGGTCGATGATGTCACAAGGAGGCGGGGTCACCCAGCAATGTCATTGGGTGGCCCTACCCCTTTGTTATTTAAGAACTGTCAGAAGGTGGAGGTGTCAGATTGCGAGAGACTTTACCGGGTGCAGAACCTTTTTTTCTCTTCAGGTTGGCAGACGGTGTTCGTCGTGATTGATGCTGGATTTACTTTGGGGGGACATTTATTTATTTAATAAAAGACGTTAAAAAACTGGTGTTGTGTGTTTTTTAACTTTTTAAACTTTTTTAGTGAATGAGTATGGGGTACTATGTACCCCATACTCATTCACATTGAAGGGTGAGATCTAGGGGCCCCCTTGTTAAAGGGGGCTTCCAGATTCTGATAAGCCCCCCCCTACCCAGGGACACCCACAACCACTGCCAAGGGTTGTCGGGAAGAGACCCTTGCCCCATCAACATGGGGACAAGGTGTTTTGGGAGGGAAGCCCCCCTATATTGAGGGCATGCGGCCTGGTATGATTCAGGAGGGAGGGTGCACTCATTCATCCCAACCCCCCCCCCTTTCCTGACCTGTTGGGCTGCACTATAATTTAAAAAGAAGCCAAGCAACTATGTGATAATAAATGGCTTCATGTGATCACTATCCTTAAATAAAATACAGTTTTTGGCACAATCAGTCATATATTCAATATCAATGCCAAAATGTCATGATTTCTGCCAGGGTATACAAACTTTTGAGCACAACTGTCCTTGGGAAGCGGCGTTCATGTATGGATGATAGCTGCAGCTGCAGTCATCATACGGATATCATTCTTTAGATCTGGTAATGCCCTTTTCAGTAAAAGTGATCTGAGTGGCTAAACAGCCACTCGATCACTTTTACAAGCAGTGGAAGGGGCTTGCCATATCTGGGCGCTCCTGTCCCATGTGGAAGCCCAGCAGCTGCTGCCAGCGGATTGTACTGCCTGACCATACGGACAAAGGAGGAGCATAAGTTATTCAAAAGAGAGAAGAAAGACTGCGGAAAACACAACACCTTCAGGGCTACCTAAAAATTTATTAGAAACAGTTCATAACTAAAAAAAATATACCCATGCTGTGCAGAAAATCCCACCTGAGCATGCATAATGAGAAATGTCTTACCCAATCTTCACTCCTGACAAGGACAGTGTATCCTTTAGCCCACGCTGTTAATTAGTTCCCCATGCAGTTACGGGCTACCTTAATTGGTGATGTACAGACCTGCTTCTGGCCATCCATCAAAAGTGACAGCCTTTAATACAAACAAATGTCCATGCTGCACAGGGAGGATGTAGGAGGTTGGCCACATGCCCTGAAATGTCTATGCGTTTCATCCCTTACTTTGGAACTTCCTCAGGAGTTACCTTGTCTTAGGTGGTGGGTCAAGTGGTGTGTTTTATGGAGGGATTGGGAGGGGGTCTTGGGGGACAATAATCTGTGGGATTATACGTGCTCAAATGGGATTTCCTGTGAAACATGGGTATATTTTTGTAATTTTTTTTACTGTTTCTAATATATTTGTATGAGGTAGCCCTAGAAATGTCTTGTTTTCCACAGTATTCAATTTCAAATCAGTTATATATTTGTGGTAATACCCACCTATATTTTAGGATTGGGCACCTTTGGTAACTGGTGGATTCCACCAACCATTCTCTATAGTTATATAGGAGGAGCTTAAGTTCCCTGATTGTCTCTATGGTGTTTGGAACCAGAAGCAACAAGGATTTTGACACTTTTGATTTTGGCTGTTTGTTTACTGGATATTAGGGCAGATGAGAGATCTGGGGTCTGACAGATCCCAGATTTCTTTATAAAGAGAACATTCATTCCTACCATTTATGTATATATGGCATATCAAAACCATTTAAAGTATGTCAGTAGAGGAAAACACTAGCAGGGCAGACTTACTAAAAATAAAAGATAATTATAGAGTGTCTTTTATTTTACATAGCCTTACTTACAACACGCTCTTTTAGACAGTGTGAAATTGATTTACTAAAGTCATATAGACTGTTTACTTTGCAAGGTAATTTTCCCTTTAGCTTAGCTCAAGATGTGAAAATTCACTTTGCAAATAATACCATGCAAGGATAATAAAAGATAACAGTATTTTTGTTTGGCCATGCTTCGACAATGGAAAGTCACCTCATTCACTTCTGTAATAGACCCCAGATCTCTCTTAAAGATCTCCTCTCTCTCATAAAGACAACATGTCACAGCCCATGCTAGCACAAGGCTAAATGCTATGCTAATAAATTAAAAAATAAATATTTAAAGTGCCCCCGTCCCCCCATGCTCACGCACAAATGCAAACTCGCACATAGGTCCCACACCGTAGGTATTGCTGCGAACAGTAGCATTAAAACAATAATTCTAGCCCCAGACCTCCTGTTTAACTCTAAACTAGCAACCTGTAAGGGATTTTAAAGCATTAACATTCCACAATTTCAACATTCCATGGGCATGTACAATTTGTGACATGTTTCTATTTACTTGGTGCAATATCATTTTTTAAATTGGTAATATATTTTCATAAATATATATTTTCATTTACAAATAGCTGCTCAATGTCATGTAAAAAATTGCAACAGCCACCATTTTATTCTCCAGGGCCTCTGCTTAACCTCCTTGGCGGTATAATTATTTCCGATTTTTTTGTGCTGAAAGTGGTACCATATTTTTGCATGGAAATATGTAGTTTTTTATTGTAGGCTCTAATTTTTAGGAATAACTCACTGAAATCTGTCCGAACAAGAGTCTAGTAAACATTCCGGATATGATAAAACTTGAAACACGAAATCATAAATTATAATTTATAAATAATCATAAAAAATAATAATAAATTTAATTCAATAATATAATCAAAACCAAAAACACTGAAATTTGAAATACAGAGGCAAGTTCGCACATCACTGAGCAAAGTCGCAAAATCTTTTTCAGTGTCTGATGACGAATTTCCCCCACGAATCATTATCACTCAATTCTGCAAGTGGTTCTGATTTACTATCGCTGTTCTCTAGCTGGTCTACAACTGCTTTTGACATAAAGGGACGCTTTTTGGACGCCATGTACCTTTCTAAGTTTCCAGGCAGAAAGAACAGTCAAAATGCAGGCAGGGCACAGGACAAAGCACTAGGGGCAAAATATATGTGAAATGCATTGAAACAGCAATGTTTTACTATATAATAATCATTTTTAAAAAAATTTAATTTTTTTAAAAAAATTTCAAATTTGCCGTCGGTTCCAGTGCCCGTACGTCCCGATGTCACAGGGACCGGAATGCGGAAGCCGGGGTCCAGCATCGGCCGGAGGAGATGGCCGGGGACGCTGCAGGGGACACATCACGGGAGCGAAGGACAAGGTAAGTGCTGCAGGGAATCCCTGAGCAATGCCGCATGGTAAGCCCGAGTGTAGCTCGGGGTTACCGCTTTTGGTACTGAAATTTTACCCCGAGCTACACTCGGGAATACCGCCAAGGAGGTTGAAAAAAGTAAGTGAAGAAATGTACAAAACCCCGCTGACAGCTGCATCATTAAAGAATATTTTCACTATTAAAATACCACATGAGTTAATAATATAACTCATGTGGTATTTTAGTAGCTGTGTGGTATCTTACCTTATACTCAGATGCGGTAAGATACTGCTTAGTGAAATGTCCCTTCTGTTTGCAGTTTGCGGTTGAACATGTGATAGGTTCGAATGTTCGACCGTGAACTGAACAGGGGGGTGTTTGGCCCATCACTAGTCATTAAATGTGTTTTTTAAATGAAAGCAGTATACATACCTGAATTTGTCCTTCTATCTGCATTTTGCGGTCCTTGTATAATGTAGCAAGGGAAGAAGCAGCACAAGGAGCCAATCAGTTTATGTGCTGGAAAAAAGCATGCTGATAGTAGAGAGAGAGAGCAGAGTGACAAAGAAATGAGTTCATCACTGTGCTGAGGAACAATAACAGGTTGGAGAGGGTCCAAGATGACTTAGGTTCAAAGGAAAAGGGTTAAATAATGCAGACCATTAGGATGTTTAGCAGAAAAAAGTAATGTGGGAAAATCATGGGATTGGGGGAAATATTACAGCAAAAACATGTTTGTTGCTTTATCTTTTAATGGGCTATTCAGTTGTATCATTTGTTTTGGCTGGGGATTTGCTTTAACCTCCCTAGCGGTCTGATTATGTCCATATTTCTGTGCTCAAAGCGGTACATTTTTTTGCATGGAAATATGTATTTTTTTTATTGTAGGCCTGTAATTTTTAGGAATAACTCACTGAAATCTGTCCGAACAAGAGTCTAGTAAACATCCCAGGTAGGTTACAATTTGAAACACGAAATCATAAATTATAATTTAATAAATAATCATAAAAAATAATAATATAATAATAATAAATTTAATTCAATAATATAATCAAACCAAAAACGCTGAAATTTGAAATATAGCACCAAGTTGGTACATCACTGAGCAAAGTCGCAAAATCGTTTTCAGTGTCTGGTGACGAATTTCCCCACAAATCATTATCACTCAATTCTGCAAGTGGTGACCTAAAGGGACGCTTTTTGGACTCCATGGGCGTTTCTCAGTTTCCAGGCAGAAAGAACAGTAAAAATGCAGGCAGAGCACAGGACAAAGCACTCGGGACAAAATGTATGTGAAATGGTTTGATACAGTAATGTTTTACTATGTGATTTTATTGTATTTAGTGAATGTCACTTTTTGTCATTTTCAAATTTCCCGCCGTTCCGTCCCCCGTACGCCCCGACGCTCGCAGGGGACGGAACCCAGATGACAGATGCCAGCATCCACCGGAGGACATTGCCGGTGACACTGCAGGAGGGACATCGCGGGAGCGCAGGACATGGTAAGTGAAGAAGAGATCCCAGAGCAGCACCGCATGGTAAGCCCAAATGTAGCTCGGGGTTACCGCTTGTGGTACTGAAACTTTACCCTGAGCTGCACTTGGGAATACCGCCAGGGAGGCTACCCACTTTCTGTTTGGGGCATTTTTGTTTTGATTTTTACACATCAGAAATTTTTGGTAGAACATTTCTTAGAATATACTGTCATTATAAAATATGATTTCATGGGAAAATCAAGGAAAGCAGTTTTAATTTCCCAAAATTTCAACAAAAATCCTAATTTTGGTAGAATGCATAGAAGTGGTGGAATGCAATAATAGGATGAATGCTAGTGCTTTTAATCTCTGAGGCCCATGGCAGCTCCTTTCGACCATTAACCTGTTCTTTTGCAAAAAAAAAAGTATAATTTGCTTCATTATTCTATTTTTTTTTCACTGAAAAATTTAAATAGACAGAAAAATAGAAACACTGACATATGGAATAAATGGAATGGAAAAAATGAAAATAAACCATTTAAAATTCCATTACAAAAATAATGATTAGGTGCTCCTAAAAGAAAAAAAAAAACAGAAACAACCGATAACAGCCAACAACAAACTAAACCACCCTAAATACCACCCCACAAAAAAAAACTGTGAATAAAAAAAGTAAGCTTCACTTAAGCAACTCAAGAAGTGTCATTAAGAATTTCCTCTTAGGTTAAACTGGTCATTTTAGAGCAAAATTCATTTTGAATAATCTATACATTCATCCCTACCATCTCTCTACAGTATATATGGCATATCAAAATATTTAAAGTATGTCAATATAGGAAAACACTAACCAAGGCAGACATATTAAAAATGAAAGATGATTAACCACATGCCACCCTGCCACTGTAGAAATACGGCGGCAGGGCGGCACGGCTGAGCAAAACCACGTTTTAAAACGTGTGTTTTTAAAACAGGTAGGGGGCGCGCGAGGCGCACCGCTGCCCTACCAGTCTCGCCGATCCTGGCCGCGGGTGTCAGTCGCCAGGTCACAGCCAGTTGTTACCGGCTATGTCCCGGCGATTAGCGGCAATCAGTGACAGAGAGCAGGGCTGCAGTAGCTGTGCTTTCTGTCAGTTCCCTGACAGCTCCTGACACGCTGATCGGGGCAGAAGAGTTTATCTGTCTGGATCAGTGTGTCTCCGTGCAGTACACACCCCGCCCCCTAGTAAAACACTCCCCTCACACAATTAACCCTTTCACTGAATAATAAAGTTAACCCCTTCCTCCCCAGTGCCATTAGTACAGTATCAGTGGGTTTTTTTTTGCACTGATCACTGTATTGGTGTCACTGGGGAAGTCAGTGACCCCAAGTCAGTTCCCCCCAGTGTCAGAATGTCCGCCGCAGTCCCGCCATAAGTCACTGATCGCCGCCGTAAGTCACTGATCGCCGCCATAAGTCACTGATCGCCGCCATAACTCACTGATCTCCGCCATTATTAGTATAAAAAAAATTAAAAATGCCAGTATCTTTCCCGCCATTTGTAAACGCTATAACTTTCATGTAAACCAATTAATTTACACGTATTGGGTTTTTTGTAGTAAAGACATGTCGCAGAATGCATTTTGGCAGAAATTTATGACTAAATTTGATTTTTACATTTTTTTTTACTGGGCATGTTTTATAGCAAAAAGTCCAAAATATTGTTTTTTTTCCTCAAAATTGTCAGCCTTTTTTTTTATAGCGCATAAAATAAAAAACGCACAAGTGATCAAATACCACCGAAAGAAAGCTCAATTTGTGGGAAAAAAAAAGGATGTAAATTTCATTTATGTACCGTATTGCATGACTGCGCAATTGTCGTTTAACTAGTGCAGCGCTGTATAGCAAAAAAAATGGCGTAAATTGCAGTATCTATACCATAGTTTGTAGACGCTATAACTTTCACACAAAGCAATCAATATACACTTATTGGGATTTTTTTTTTACCAAAAACATGGAGCAGAATATATTTTGGCATAAATTTATAACTAACTTTGAGTTTACTATATATTTTTTATAGCTGAAAGTAAAAAATATTGTTTTTCTTCAAAATTTTTGGTCTTTTTTTGTTTATAGTGTGAAAAATAAAAAGTGCACAGGTGATCAAATACCACCAAAAGAAAGCTCTATTTGTGTGAAAAAAAGGACGTAAATTTAGTTTGGAATTGCATAACATTGCATGACCGCGCAATTTTAAGTTGAATTAGTGCAGCGCCGAGTAGCAAAAAGAGGCCTGGTCATTAAGGGGGGTAAATTCTCTGGAGGGCAAGTAGTTAAAGAGTGTATTTAATTTGACATACAGTAACCTTACTTACAACACACTTTTTTAGACAGTGTGAGTTGATTTACTAAAGGCAAATAGGCTGTTTACTTTGCAAGGGAACTTTTCCTTTAGCTTAGCTCATTTTGTGAAAACTCACTTTGCAAAGAATACTGTGCAAGGATAATAAAAAAAAAACCTGTTTTTTGCTTGCACATACTTCGATAATGGAAGCTAATCTCATTCAGCAAGCTAAACCAAAAATCCCTTTGCGAAATAAAAATTCCCTCCTCCCAGAGTGAACAGCCTATTTGTATTTAGTAAATCAACCCCTGTATTTCTCATGTTTGCAACTGATTCCTCTTCCAACCTATACTTTCAATACTGTCTTGCAATGTACAGCCATGAGAGGATGCTGCACAGCAGTTTATTAAGGTGTCCTTCCCATCTTAAAGAGACTGTTGCCACCCCTTGAATACTAACATGGAGGACGTGAGGCAAGGGATGGGAAACTGCTGTGTTAGGCTGAAGCAAGGATTCTACAACACTCCCTGTGAAAGAACAGAGATTTGATCCTGTTCCCAGGACCACTTTTTTCATCCAATTGTGTATCGCAGTACTGCTGATGTCCCCCAGTTTCTTTCAGACACCTTCTGTATATATGGACTTGCACCAGTGTAGTCAAGGAAGAAGCAAAGGGTCAATAATGAATGGTTGCAGACAGGGGCGGACTGACCATTTGGAAACTTGGGCACTTGGGTAGGGGGCCCCATGAGATGCCCCTGGTACCTTTTTCATAGGCTTTTTTTTAGTTTGGGCAAGGACACAGGGGCCCCATGATCCCCTATTGCCCAGAGGCCCCATGAGTTGTCAGTCCACCCCTGGTTACAGGTTAGGATCAAGCAGAAGCTTAGTCCAGGAGCAAGCCAAAAGTCGGTAATGTATGGTAGTGAAGATAAGGACAGCTACAGATATGCAAAGAACAAGATATTGGCTGGAGAAAGCACAACAACCTGGCAAAGAGGAAGTGCAAAGGCATGGCTTAAACAGGGGAGGAGCAAAAAGAAACAAGGTACAAGGCAAGATTGTCTAAGGAATCAGAGAGGAAGCTGGCCATCAACTCAGGTGGCTCAGAAAGAAGAGTTACTGCCAGACACAGTAGATGACCTGAGTTCAGATCCAGGTGCTGCCGGAGGTTGTCCAGGAAAACTGTACAGTACTCTAAAGCCTTGTACAAATGTAAGCCATCCTCCAAGGATTTGTGTATTTTCTCTCTCCCCTTTTTGCCATTGGTGCATGTCTATCATGACAGTGCCT